GACGCAGTAAAATTTATAAAATAAATACATGGACTAATTTTAACGATTGAATTACCACTTAATTAATTATTTTATTATATTTATTAATTGTGAAAAATTATCTAATTATTTATTCGGAACAATTTTAATTACCGGAATTGATGTATTGAGAAAACTGCGTCGCATTTCGAAATTTAAGACCGTGGATAATTTTTTGAGATTACATTTTCACACTGAGGTGCATTATTTATAATCTAATCGTCATTCGTAAAGTACTAGAAATTTATTATCCCACGTGCTATTAATTATCGAGAATTGATTTATTAAATTTCGACGCAAATAAGACCGACACACCCGTAGGAAAAATTGAGGCATGTAATTTTTTACATTTAGTAAAATTATAAATTGTTATCGAATTTAATTGCCAATTTCTGCCAGGGGAGTCTTATATCGAATTTATACCAATAATTTATTATCATCATTATTCCAGTAAAATTATTTATAAAACTATTCATTCGTGTGGATTAAGTCCGAGAAAAATATAGTTAAATTTACAAAAGAATATTCTAAGAATTTGTTAATGCGCAAAGATAAGCTCGTGTTAAAAATGGAGGGAGAAGAAGCGTTGGTTTAAGCCGGAAATTTGAAGAAGTAAAATTTAGTAATTTATGGGAATAAACTCAGGAGTTTTTATTATGGTAAGCTAATGACTGATAAATTTTAATGAAAATTAACGTTGTAAATTTTTGGAGTTAATTTTTGTAAATCCGGAAATAATAAAATAGAGTCAGTATGTGTGTGTGTGAGCGGAGTATGTGTATGGAGATCGTGTGGGTTGTGTGTGTGCGGTTGTACGCGTTCTCTACTTGTTGATGAATTGCCGAGTAGAGTAATTCGTACAGTCCTAGAGCGTGAGGGTCTGGTGGACAGCGCGACGTAGTTAGAAACCGCAGTATAGACGCTCCGTATGAGGGTACTGCGGGAATAGGAATTTTTTAAGACGAACCCTACTTGTTGATGAATTGCCGAGTAGGACGACTAGGACTTGGTGCGACGTCTTCTGCTTGTTGATGAATTGCCGAGCAGAGGATTAGCATTGAGTGAGGCAACGGTTTTAGCCCGAAATCCTCAAGTAGATATAAGTTGTAGTAGCGACTTCCCGGTGGGAAGCGTGAAGTAAGAAGTATAGATATAAGTTGTAGTAGCGACTTCCCGGTGGGGAGCGTGAAGTAAGAGATCGTAGTATTAAGTCGTAGTGTCTAAGTCGTAGTGTAAGTGAGTGAGGAGTACGTACAAGTGTACGAGTTGTTGATTTTATTGTTAATAAATTTTGGCCAATTGTTAAATAAAGATTTAATTATTTCAGACCACCTTTCTCTCTCTCTCTCCCTGTAGAATAAGAAGCTCAGCTCTGGCATCCGGTTCCAGGAACCGAGAAAATAATCCTGGTGGCGCCCTATTTAGCATTAGAGTCATTTCGCTGTTATATTGTTAATTATTAATTTTATTCAGGGCCAATAAGTACGGGAAATAAACCACCCGTTACAATCTTACTGGACGTTTTTCTTAGTCCAAGTACACCTTTTATCTTGTTAAGGTGTGAGGCATGTTCATTACTCCTGGCAGTATACGACTTGAGAAAATTACTCCAAAGTAATGTAAATGGTGGAAAATGTAAAGTAACCAAGAAAAAAAAACCAGAACAACATAAGGCGCTGGATGCTGATCTCTTGACAGCAATTCAAAAATTTTTCTAAATCGCAAAAATTTTCACTTTTACCGTATTTCCGTGCAATAACAATTAAACGCGATATCATATTCAATTTCTGTACACTGAAACTGAAAGCTTATTTAATAAGCTTCAATTTGCACACATTTATTTTTCTAAATTAAATAGTTTAGAAATGACAGCAATTCAAAAATTTTTTTAAATCGCAAAAATGTTCACTTTTACCGTATTTCCGTGCAATAATAATTGAACGCGATATCTGATCGAATTTCTGTAAATTGCATCTGAAAGCTTATTAAGTAAGCTTTAATTTGCATACTTATATATTTTTTTAAATTAAATAGTTTAGGAATGACATAAATTTGAATTCTCCAAAATCCTTAAAAATTGGAACTTTTACTGTTTTTTTTGCGAAATAACTAATGAATGCGATAACCTATACAGGAGATTACGACGGGGCCAAGCTCGCTCGTATTTGCTTTATATTTGAAATAACTTTCATACTTTGAAAAATCTTTATAACAGTGAATAAAGTTGTTTTTTTTTTTTTTTTTTAAGTAATATAAAATACAAGGCGTTGGTTTAACCAATGTAGCCAAGAATAAAGTTGTATGATATTCTGTACTCAATTGCCATCTTCTGGGATTTCATTCAAGCTTTAAGCTCGGAGTATCGAACGTTGAAAAAAATGATATCGCACATTTTAAATGATTACCATCAAAACTATTATGACCTTCAGATAATGAAAAGTATTTTTCTGAAAATCGATTTATCATAAGCCTACATAAGAACTCTGCATAATTAAATAAAGGTATATCAATCAGACGTTCGTATAAGTTAATGATACTTATCAACCTGTTCTTTAGATGCTTTTTTATTTGATTTTTTTTTTATGCCTAATAAAAGGAATATATTATGAGAGCATTTATCCGCTTTAGTATGATGGGGTATTAAATCAGTTTCAGTATTCATCAAATATCTTTATAGTTATCAATTCGTATTTACAGACAGTAAATGTAGAATAATGATGACTATAAAAAATGCCATTTTGAAAATATATGATAAAAATATTTTATTTCACTTTAAGTTAATAACAATTAACAGTTTATTATAGTAATGAAGATAACAATATAAATAATAGAAGTTCTTAAAAATCAGTTATACGTCAAGTTGCTCTCAAAATCATTTAGAAGCTTTAAATATTAATAAGATCGTCAAAATTTAGTTTCTATAACCAGGAAATAGTATTAATTATTTAAACTTTCCATATTTTAGTTATAGATTTATTGATTGTCGAACGATGAAAAATAAATCACCATTACCCCGATGCAACAGAGAACTTTAGAATAATCAATAGACGTCAATTTATCTGATAATTATTGAAAAAAATTACGACTAACTTTTCAACTCAACTCGCCATATTATGCATATCAGTCCATGAAAGGTTTCTACAGCTGCTGTTTCGGCTAACTTTTTTACGATCGGAAGTACTGTTAGCTATATAGTCAGGATCGGAATCAGGATCAGGGTTAAGAACAGCAGGAGCATCAAGATTAAGATTAGGGATCTGGTTTTTAGTTAGGAGAGCAGTAATCAATTCATAACTTCACCATAAAAAAATTTTCATTTAATTTCTAAAGATAATAAATTTCCAATAATAATCGATAGTAATTATTGATTTAATAAACATTATGGTTCAAGTGCTCATCAAAGTCGCAGAACGTTGAAGACTTTCTTTGTCACCGTCAAAATCAGTTCGTCTAATTTATTGATTCAAGGATGTTACTATTCGTATGTATATATATTAGGGTGTGCTAAAATTCAATTTCCGTGAGGAATTTTTTAAAATTTGAATTTTGAGTTCTGCTTTCAACAGGAGTTGTGTTTGAGTATTTCCTGAGATATTTTGGGGGGAGTGGATTTATTTGATTTTCACAGAATTTTTAACAGGAGCTTTGTTTGGGCAATTCCGGCCAAATTATATGCGCAAAATTTTAGTAGATTGTGGAGTTTTAAAATTAGAACGACGAAGCTCATTAGATTCTCAGATTCCTTTAGGTATTTTTATATCATGCCACCTTATATCATTTTTTATATAATTAGATCATTTAATTTTGATGGTAAATTTCTAATGGTGATTAATTTTTGTTATTTCAAGATTCCGAGGATAAGTTAACTATCTTGAAAGAAAATACTGCAGAGTGGACGATCATAGAACAAACATGGAAAGATACGTACGTTTTTGTTGCGACAGCAATTAATTAAACAAAAAGCTGAGAAGGGACTTTGGGAATTTTCCGAATTTCTTTGTCTTGCTGCTAGTGACGGAGCATCTTTAGTAAGTGTAGAACAATTTTGTTCGTAGCCTTTATATTTTTTATATGCATGAATACCTTTCGATTTACCAATATTTAAATACATTTTTCATTATAGTTGATTCATGATTTTAATACAAAATATCCAGACAACAATATTAAGATTAAAGAAATTTGGAAGACTCTACAAACTGCCTTGGATAGTTTTATTAATTCGAAAAAACTCTCTAATGAAGTCCAAGATATATTTGAAATTTTTAAATCTTCTAAAGGTAATATATTTTCGCTAGTAATTATTTTTTTCAATCTATAATTAAAAACTATCAATTTCATTAAAATTATTTATTGTTTTATGCCAACAGAAAATCAACATGATGCTATTGTTTTAATGCTTTTGCCATTTGTTATTAAAGCACCTGCACTGTCCACTAAAAGAAGCAGCAAACCACCTACTAAAAAACAAAAAGTAGAAGAACCTAAATCATCTAAATCAACAAAAATCAAGCCTCAAAAAACGTTTATTTTGCATGTAAATGTAAGTGATAGTTTTAATATTGCGTACTGTACGTAAAATTATATTTAAAATTATTGTCTTATTTCTATTTTTATTACTCAAATATTATACTTGAATAGTATTTTATTTTATAGTCTTTATTTTAATCTAAATATATGATAAATTATTTTTCTTAGATCGCAGCTGATGTAGACAAGAAAATTGATGAAGAACGCGAGTCTTTACTCTTAATTAAAGAACGCGTACAGCCATTTATGGTTTTCGTTGGACCTTTGACATCATTGGAAGCATTTTACGTTGTAGTCGATAAAGTTCGCTACAAATCTGAATCTACGCTAGAAGCATTGGATTTGACGTTTAGAATTTTTTTTGCGTGTACTGCGATTATCCTAAATTAACGCAGCAAACTTGGCTATTTATCCAAAAATTGTTGTACCGTATAAATGTCCCCGGAGACAAATGCTCAATGTTATTAAATAAGGCATTAACTTTTTTTGAAAAAGCGTTAAATATAAAAATAGATTAGATCATAGCATTGCAGATATTCAAGTTAAAAGTGCGATTAAGATTCATTTCTATATTTTAAATTTATCAATACATAAATAGTTTAACTTTAAGCAATATTATATAATAATGAATGTATCTATATTTACGAAATCTTTGTCAGAAGCTGCTGCAGATTTTGTAAGCAAACTGTATAGTTTGCCCGATTTATCTCGTACTAATGTTCAAGAACTGTTAAATGCATTTACTATTTTTTTGCAGACTGAACCGTTTAATATGTTACTAAATGAAATGATTCAAAAATGTGTATTCTTGGGTGACTCATCACAATCGATTCAAGTCTATAAAGGAATGGTAAATTGCATCCAAAACCTCTTCGAACAATTTAACACTGAGAGACGGTGTTTAAATTATTTTACAAAAAAAAAAAACGTATATACCTCCTGAAGAAAAAATTGTTGGGGAAAAAGATTTGTTTAAACAAAATGATACCAGTACAATTTTAAATAAAAAAAAATCACTATTCAGTTCATTCCATTGCGCAATGTCTTAAAAGAAATTTTTAAACTACCATTTATTTTTAATGATTCTAGAGAATATTTGCAAAATCTAGAAGAAAATGATGTTCTTATTAAAAATGTCGTCCAAAGCGAAAGTTGGAAAAAAAAGAAAGCTACACTTGGTGAAAAATTAGTTTTTCCGATTTTTATGTACCAAGACGATTATGAAACAAATAATCCTCTAGGTAGTCATAAAGGTTTAGGAAAAATGGGAGCAGTATATATTGTCATGCCATGCTTACCACCACACTTATCGTCAAAAACTGAAAACATTTTTTTACTGACTTTATACAAGTCCAATGATCTTAAATATGTAAGCTTGCAAATAATATTGACAGAAGCTATAAAGGAATTGGAGTTCTTGGAATCTACTGGAATTTCAATTTCTACGCCATCTGGTCCAACTCAGATTTACTTTTCTTTAGCAGGTGTGATTGGAGACAATCTTGCGGCTCATACAATATTAGGGTTCATAGGTAGTTTTTCGGCGAACTTTCCTTGTAGATTTTGCAAAATTCATCGTTCTGATATTAATTCAACTTTTAAGGAATCATCTTGCGAGTTACGTTCAGAAGAGATTTACAAAGTAGATTTAGAGAAAAATGAGCCAAGTGAAACTGGTATTGCTGGCCCATCTGTATTCGAAACTCATTTAAAAACAGCTTCAACAATTGATCTCATGACGGTAGATGTAATGCACGATTTATTAGAAGGCATTTGCGAATATGACTTTGGCTTAATAATGCATCATTTTATTGTAGTTAAAAAATTTTTTACTCTTACTAATATTAATAACCGTATAGAAGGACTTTACTATGGAGATGAAAGCCGCAATAAGCCACGAACTTTAAAGCCTAATCAAATAAAAACCCGCTTTATAAAAATGTCCGCCAGTGAATCACGATGTATTCTTGAAAATATTGGTGTATTGATTGGTGATTGGGTACCTAGAAAAAATCTTCATTGGCGATTAGTTATCTTAATAAAAGAAATTTTTGACATTGTTTCTGCTACTGTAATTCATAAAGGTATTTCTTATTATTTAACTAACTTAATCGGAGAATACCTACATTTGTTATCTATTTTATTTCCCGGATCACTGAAACCTAAGCATCATTACATGCTTCATTATGCCACAATAATGGAACGCAAAGGTCCATTGTGGAATATGAATTGCATGAGGCCAGAAAGTAAAAACCGAGATTCTAAAATAACATCTCGCATAACTCTTAATCGTACCAATATTTCAAAAACGCTTGCTATTAAATCGCAGTTAATTTTAAACCATCGATTGCGGAATAGATTGGTTAGTAATAAACTGTATGAGAGTAATAAATCCACATTAAAGTCAGTACCCGAATTACAAGAATATTGTTCATATGCCAAGTTATTATCTTTCTCACACGGTGAGAAATTTCTGTAGAAATTTACTATGCATACATAATAAGACTGAACCTTAATGACTCAATTCAAAATATTACCATAAAAATTTAAGAATATCATATTGTACCAATCAATATTTACTAGGGACCATAGTAAATTTGACCATGTAACTGTTACATAAACATATATAAAAAATTTTCGTAAACTGACTGAACAAAAACTGTGAGTGTGCTTAAAACTTTTCATTATAGTTCCATAGTAAAATGTCTGTTGTTCAGTCGACAATAAAAATTTATAAAAAAAATTTGACATTTAGTCACGTGTACTCGATTTAAATTTAAAATTGTGACTATGAAATTTTCAAATGTCCCATAGTAAACGTATGCGCGTCAGTCGCGACGCGCGCTCTTTCATTTTTTCGTGCGGCTTTGTTTTGTCAACATAAGTGTACAAACGCTATCAGCAGTGGTTAACGGTGTTATAAAAATTGCAATAAACATTTTATTTCCCGGATCACTGAAACCTAAGCATCATTACATGCTTCATTATGCCACAATAATGGAACGCAAAGGTCCATTGTGGAATATGAATTGCATGAGGCCAGAAAGTAAAAACCGAGATTCTAAAATAACATCTCGCATAACTCTTAATCGTACCAATATTTCAAAAACGCTTGCTATTAAATCGCAGTTAATTTTAAACCATCGATTGAGGAATAGATTGGTTAGTAATAAACTGTATGAGAGTAATAAATCCACATTAAAGTCAGTACCCGAATTACAAGAATATTGTTCATATGCCAAGTTATTATCTTTCTCACTTTCGGACAAGGTTACTGAATTTGATTTTATCACATTTAGGGGTAAGGACATTCAAAAAAATGTGATATTAATGATGCTGACAGAATCAGACCGTTGCTTCTTCAACGTGCATGCTATTTTTGAAGATAATGCTAATACTTTATTCATAGTTCCTAAAGATATTACTGAATTCATTTATTACGATGAACATTTCCAATCATATAGACTTCACGGAAGCTCTATTAATGTTAAAAATTGGAAGATTTTAAATATTCAAGATCTGAAATACTGTAATGTTAGCCGTATTTGTTTCAGTGGTAATGGATTTCAGTATATTCCAAAAAGATGGATTTAAAAGCTTCAATTTATATGAACATAATTATAATTATATTTTTAAAAAAAAATTTATAGGATTTATGTATATTATTTAATAAACAATGTTTAATTAAAAAATACTTGGTTGATTATAATTGTTGCAGTTGGCATTTGCCAAAGGCTAAAAAATAAATTATTATTATTAACCTTATTATTGTTATTATTATTTTTATTATTATCATTTTTATTGTTATCATTTTAATTGTTATTATTATGATTTCTAAAACGTTTAAACTGAAACTCATTGCGAAAAATATTAATAAAACTTTCTAATTTTATGCCATTATTGTCATGAGTAAATCATGCGCAGTACGGTTGCGACTTCGGTTTGTGACACGACTGGCTACTGCACAGAGCAGTATCCAGCGTGGAGAAGTACACGACTCGGAACACTCCAAACGTGAGCGGTTCATGTTTTAAGAGTGGTTATTGCTGTTCTAACCAAAATGTACAAAACATCAGTCATGATAGTTTCTGACAGGACTCATAGCTGCGATGACGATAGCTATTGTTGTTTTCAAAGTAAATTCATGTTTCCGAACACTGAATAGACTCGATTAGTGTTATGCGCAGTACTGGTTACTGCTTTATTTTCTCCGTGATGCCGCAAGCCACATCAAAATTGTTTGATTCATTCAAGAGATATCGTGCTCGAAAAATTAAAAAAAAGTGTTTTTTTTTCTTACATAACAAAAATTATTGGATGGATCATTTATGAAATAGGATATCTCTTTATATTCAAAAAACTGCATTGAATGCCGGAAATTATTTTAGCTGCTTCAAGATTAATAAATATATCGCTAAATTTGAAATTCATTTTCATTTATCAAACATTAAAATCCGTTATCTCAGTGTTACTTAAGGAATCAATTTAAACATCAAAAATCAACTTTGTTTTAGAGAAATCTAATCGCTATTGTTATAACTGATGTCGAAACTCATCATCCTGTTCGAACGATTTTATTCAAAATAATTTCTTTTCGATAATATGGATGTGTCGAAATTGATATTGTACAACCAATAAAAGCCAATAATTTGTACATTAGAATAAATTAAAAATTTAACACCTATTAGAATATTTGAGAAAATAAAGCCAAAATTTGAAAATAGTATATACAAGAAAAATAATTTCTAACTAGATTATTGTTAATGAACTATTTAATAATAATATTGCACAAATAATTTATATAAAAATTTTAGAAAATAAAATATAAAAGTTTTATAGATTTGATTTGCTTTCTTTTACATTTTGACAGCTAGTAAAGCAATGTTGATAAAGCAATCCATGTACTCTACAAACTTCTAATAATTTAATTTCAATCATTCTTAGCCGTCTAATTAAAAACTAAAAATTAATTCTGTTATTAAATCGGGTTTAAATATTTGTGACGAGTTCTGTGCATGTTATCTCTCTTAATCAGAGCTTTTGTTAGTAAACTTTAAAATAACTTATTTTTTTTTATTTATTAATTTTTACTTTTTTATTATGCCCGCCCCAACCAGCAAAACCTCGGCTTCACCTCGGTTTTGCAAAACCCCTTCCCCGGGGTTACGTACTTTCGGCTGGAGAGCAAGAAAAATAGTATTCAAGCCACGACCAGAATGTTGGATGCCCTGACGTATATCGGCTACGCCTCGGCCATCATATCCCATACGCCAGGAAATCCAACTTTCTGGCCTTGGGTCGTAATATACTATTAATCGGTATTATCCGTGCGTTATGACGTATACTTATTTATAAATATATTTTTTGTTTTATAAAATTGAAGTAACTAATAAGGAAAATTTAGGTGAAAAAAAAATTGTGATTTTGTAGAAATAAAGTAAACAAATAAAGCAATGGATTTAAGGTTATACTGTCATTATTTTTTTTTCTTAGGTCGTAAGATCTTGAGGGTGCACACGCGGATAATATCCCAGTCAGTCGTGAGAGATATAGTGTGTATTAAAAGCCGTTTCGGAAGCTGCCTTGGGACTCGTCCCAGATATAGCCGATCATATGAATGACCACATTTACGTCTTCTGGATTTGGAAAATAACCAAAAGCTCCGTTTTTTTGTTTGACATATACCTAACATTTTAATATAGAATTTTATGAGATTTTCGAAATGAAAAATCTATACTAATAAATGGCGAGTCGGTTTTTTTGTCCGATTATACTGCGAAAACTACTGAACCGATCGGAATAATACTTATACCATAAGATGCAGCGTGTTTCGAAGAAGGTTTTAGTATATGATATGTTGGTGATTACTTATCCAGAACCATATTTTTTTGACTTAGAAATAATGAATTTTTATTGTAATTAAATTTATTCTATTCGATTGTCATTTGTTTAAAATAATTTTTTTAATTCTATTGGTTATGTTTATAAATTGGGCAGATTTCTTTACTGACCTGCGATTTCTTGAACTGTAACTTTCAATGCTCGTTGCAATTTTTAACTTCCCGCTAAGAAAATTGAAAATTTTCAAAAATCGGGAAGTTATTGTTTCTACCCCGTTTTTCGAAAATCGAGTTTTCATCAGATCTCGACGTTTTGAGGTCCTAGGAAGCTTTCCTGACTATTCCCGCGATGGTGTCCGTGCGGCTGTATGT